GATCCAGGTATTAGATGCTGCTTTAGGCTTGTTAGCCAAGTGGACTTGCTAACACTGAAACCCCAATATCAGGCAGAAAGAACCACGGATCAGACAGGGACCCAGGCACCCTGAGGAAGGCTTGCCTGAAGGCAGAGCAGAGGGGAGTGGCTGCTCTCTGCTGGCTACCACCCTCCCAGGAGGGTGAAGAGCCATGCCTGGTTTTCCACCCCACATTGATCAACCAGTAAGTCTATCCATCTTCCCAGAAGCCAAGAATGTCTGGAAATAAAGAGGCCAGCAGTATGCTTAGGAATAATCCTTCGTTAGGAAAACCACAAGAGGAGGAAAGGTATATCCCTCTATCCATCGAGAAGGGGACACATCTAGAGAAGGAAAGGAATTTCTCTGTGGCCCCGGGGTAAGGGAGCAAGAAGATTGGACTCTAAGAAGGAAATCAAAATGCTGGGATCTGAGGTCTGGGTGTTCCCCGCCTGGATTCCCTCAACCACTTCCTACGCTCTGAGATACTACACTATTCCTTTTGTATTTCCCTCAAACCTGCCCTTACCTTTGTAAATTGTGCCTTTATTAACCTCTCTCCAAATTACCCAGGTTGTGTATGCTTACTCTTTCTTGCCCACACCCTAACTGATACATATAGCTGATTTAGTGTTTTTTTGGGAAAAGATTATTGGGGGAGGAGTATGCGGGTAAGGGGGGCAGGAGGTTGGGAAAGGAGGCTAGTACAAAAGCAGGCGGTGGGAATTGACTGCAGCCATCCAGGTGAGGATGATGGCGCTGTGCACCCCCCGGGGGTACCCACAGATGAGGCAGAGAAGGCTGGAGTTGGGATTTAATGGAAGGTAGAGCCAACAGGACTTGCTGATGCATTGGATATGGGTTACAGGAGTGAAAAGTGTCAGAACACTTCTCATTTTGCAAATCTGGAACGGAAAGGTGCTATTTAGAGGTCTGACAGAGATAGACAGAATTGACTGTGGCTTTTTTTTTCTTTTTTCAGAAGTGGCAGGATATCCTCCAAGAATTCACAAGATTGCTTTAGCAAGTTTTTTTCTTATAGGTAGTGTTCATCTCAACACTGTAATTCCTAGCGTCTATGCTGTGGTCTTCTGTGGTTTCTCCAGGGATTTCCAGAATGTTGCAAATATTTCCACCCAAGGAGATGAATTTTAACCTACTTTAATTAAAAAAACAAACCCCGTATAAGCCACGCAGCCTTTTTTATGAGGAACGACAAGGAATAGTTTAAACCGAATTATGGAGAAATGTTGCAAGTGCAACACTTTTGGCAAGTCACTACTAGCCCACAAAATAAAACCCGACATTTGTGAGCCCTGAGTCTCCTCACTGGATCCACTGACCATACAAATTGTTGATGACCGCTGCTGTCTGCATGTGCTGAGCGAGTTTGCACGAGTGAGTTCAGTAGTGTAAATGTGTGTGTGCAATGAAACAAAACCTGAAAAGATAAAAGAAATAAAATTGCTAAGATTAACAAAGGATTAATTAACTTTTATTTTCTCTTCAAACTTGTCAACATTCAGAGTTTTCTGAAATAAATCTTAATAGGTACTAGTTTTAGAAACAGTTTTCATTCTCACACTGGGCTTCCCCGACCATCTATTTAAAATAGTAATACCCCACCCCTGACTCAGTTTCACAGAAATACAGACACATACTGCTTTAGTCTTCTCCACTGCATGTAGCACATCACTGTGGATATCACAGCCTGAAATATAATTTTGTCCATTGCACAATTTCATCAATAAGAGTTATGTTCTCTGAAACAGGGTCCTTGCTTACCTTGTTCACTCTTCCAGTGCCTACAACAGTGCCTGGCACTTAGGAGTGCGCAATAAATGTTTGCTAATTCACACACACACACACACACACACACACTTTATTTTAAAGATATTTGCCAAAAGAGAGAGATGATCATGATGATTCTTAAAAATCTACATCGCTCATAGGAGTACAAAGTGATACAAATTTTCTGAGGAGAAATTTTACCATCTATTATTACAACAAAAAAAGCTTCAGCCAAATTATGACCTTCAATTCAGAAAGTTTACCTGTAGGGGCTGAATACACGATCAGACAAATATTTACAAAGGGGTCCTGGTAGCATTATAGCTGGAAAATAAGGTTTGGTTAAAAATATGATGAAGCAGCCATAAAATAATAAATCATTATAACCATTAAATTGCTATAGAAAGAGATGTATCATTTATTATTACATTTAAAAAATGGGTAACAAACTAGTATGTTTAGTGTAATTCCTTATATAGAGTAAAAACTCTGTGAAGAAGTACTCCACAACATTAACTGTATTGAAAGTAGAAATAGCATTTAAAAACCCTTTGAACAAAGTGTTTGCATAACCAGTCATGAGATGAAAGAACACGATGCATGTTGCCTTTTTAATGTAAATATCCTTAGGTATCATTTCATAGTTTCAAAATATTGTGGTTTAGTAAAGTTGATACCTGGTTATAAATATTATGCCTTTATTTTTGGCTAGAAGAAGAATTATTTTTAGCCTAGATCTGACCATTTTCATACTCTTAACTGACTGAAACAGATTTAAAAAAAGTATCAAGTGCTATGCATTGAAACTTGTTTTTAAATGTTAACTGGCACTATGTATATTAATGTAAAACAATGTTAATTTACTCAAGTTTTCAGCTTGTACTGCCTGGTATGTCTGTGTAAGAAGCCAATTTTTGTGTATTGTTACAGTTTCAGGTTATTTATATTTGATGTTTTGTAAAACTCAAATAAGACTATACTGTACTTATGGACCAAATAAATGGCATCTGCATACTTGTTAAAAAAAATTACCATAGTAATTTTTTACTATGGTAAAATTTTTACTATGGTAAAATTTACTATGGTAAATTTTTACAACCCCAATATGGTAATTTTGGGGTTGAGACTGTGGATATTTCAAAGTTTCTTCTATGTGGTTATCTACATGTTTTTAAATATCTATAATAAACGAATGAAACAAGGTGTTCTTTTACTTTGTTTCATTTTTAAATAGTGTTAAAAATTATTATAAGCAATCCAAAGTGGACTTTCTAAGGATACACAACTACTGCATATCTCAAAGAAGAAGTAAAGTTTGCAAGTGAATTAGAATCACAAAAAAAAATCTGAATATTTTCTGTCTTTATTTCTGTTACACAAACATTTATCTCAAGTGGAAACAGCATTTCTCTCTGGGCTCCATAGACAGGGATTTGTAAAATCACCACTGTCTGCCAAAAGAAATTAATATTGCAAATAATAATTAGCTTAACAATGAAAACCCTAGGGGGTAAATAAAAAAGCCACAATTCACCATTATCCTTGAGTAGAATCTGCGGAGGTTGGAGGCAAGTGGAGAGCTCCTCTTTCAAAGTCAAATGGAATCAAGGCAGTGATTAAGCGCCACTGCCGTTAAGCGCCACTGCCTCTACCAGACCCACTGAACTAAGCTCTGAAGAAACACACAGTGTGTGATCCAAGGTCCTTGCCCACCAGAACTGATGCAGCCGAGGAAATTCTCCGTAGGAAAACTGTTTAGAGAGAACAGGGAAGATGGTATTAGAGGTGAAAAGTGGGGTTGTGGATGGTATGTGTTGGTTGTTACTCCCTTAATCTGAAGAAAGACAGGGGGTTCCAGAAATATAATTTGAAAGTCGAATCAGCCCTGTAGGCATGTTAAGCACTTCTAGTGCTTAAAAATATGTCGGAAACCTTATTTAGTTCATTTCAGGCATAGCACTGAACAGCTAGTCCAATTCACAAATTTAAGCTATCTGCTCCTGCAGGTATAGTTTTGGATCCTTGTATCTGAGCTGTGCTTGGATCCCTACTTGAAAGTTGACCAGCATTTGTCAAACAAAAAAATCCAGTGAATACTGCTCTTTAATGACCAATATGAAAAGTGTTGTGCTAAATTTTAATAATGGTAACTTCTGTAACTCCAGGCAGTTGCTACCAGATAGGATTTCCTCCCAGGCCTCTGTCTTAAAGCTTTGTCTTGCTACCATTTATCAGCCAGGGACAGAAACAAAGATGTGAACAGAAGCAAGCTTGTATCAAGGAAAAAACAAAACAAAACAAATTAGAGTCTGTCATGCTGGGAAAGTAGGTGCAGATCAGTGCCTGCAGAACCCTAATTGCCAGCATATTGAATTTGGCCTTTATGCTGAAGATAATCAGGAGTCCTTGATATGGAGATAGACTAGGAACTTACAATCAGCCTCTAAATTTTAGAAACAAAAGCTATTGATAAGAGTTCATTTTAAAGATGAATCTCAGCTGGCATGGTGGCTCAAACCTGTAATCCTAGCACTCTGGGAGGCCGGGTTGGAAGAATCCCTTGAGTTCAAGAGTTTGAGACCCTCCCTCCCTCCTCTGTCTCTAGTAAAAATAGAAAAAAAATTAGCCAGGTGTCATGGCCCACACCTGTAGTCCCAGGTACTCAGGAGGCTGAGGCAGGAGGATTGCTTGAGCCCAGGAGTTTGGCTTGCAGTGAGTTATGACGATGCCGCTGCACTGAGACTCTGTCTCAAAAAAAAAAAAAAAAAAAAAGTGCATCTCCACACTTGGAGCATGAGATCATGCCTGTCAAGCCATTTCTGTCAGTCTCCAGATTAGTAATGGGTGACTTGCCATCCTGGCTGATGGGCTGGCAGGAAAGGAGCGTGTTTCATATCAGAGAACGCCACAGACACCAGGGGCAATGTGATTTGTCACTTAATGAGGAAGGCTGCCCAAAAGCATCTCATCCTCCAGCTGCTGAGTCATCCTGCTGTGGTAGCTATTTAAACAGAAGCCTCCAGGAGACACACAATCAACACTCCACTCAGACAATGCCCAGGCCTTCAGAAATCCTGTATCCAGCTTGAATTGACCCAGACAAATGCAATTTTAAAACAGTTTCCATTTTTTTTCTTCCCATATTGTCACACTATGTCAGAACTTCTGGCTCCTTTTCTCAGTTAGTGCCACAGCCACCCATTTCTCTTTCAAGTGTTCTCCCAATACAATGGGGCTTACTGACTTGATGTTCTTGTATTTCTCTAATGTTAGCAAACATTGCTTGAGCACCTACTGTGGGCTATGCATTAAACTACAGGTAAGTAAGTGTTGGTTAAAGGGTGAGTAAGACACTTTTCCTTGTCTTTAGGCGCTCACTGTCAGGCGGAAGGAAGAAGCTGTCAGGTCATCAGACAACCACATCTACAATGTGATGGTTCTTAGACAGGTAAGTACAGGCTGATGTTCCGGACGTTCATATTTTTGTGGGGAGAGGGTACCAATATTCTTTTCTAAAAGGGAAGGGATGTGGCTGAGGCATCAAAGGGATATGGGAGGATGGACTTTTTCCAAGGGCTTTTCAAACCTGACGATCTATTGGCATTTCTGCCTGTCTGCCTGGGGCCTCACTGCTGGTCTGGCTGGCTGTGAGTGCTGTTGATGGCTGATAGTTCTTTTTCCCTGCTTGTCCTCTAGGTGCTCTCAATATGTCAGATGAGGACTCCCTGTCACATTTGGCTGTCATCTGTTAGCCACAACTGTCCTGCCCAGAAGAGCTGGCATTGGCTTTGCAGCCCGAGTCCTGGCTGGCCTTCCTCGCCGCCACTCTATTAAGGAACCTGATGACTTGCCATTGGGTATCACATGTACTGCAGGTGCTGTTGATGAAACTGCTAAAGGAGCTGAATGTGACTGACGTCTTTGGGAAGGGCGAGACTGGGCGTGCCCACGCAGCTGTGTCAAATACTGTTCCTATCTCCCAATGGAAAGGTATTGTAAATAAAGAGAAAGGTCAGTAGCTTATTTTAAATCCCAAATATGACCTAGGCGCTGCCCTTGGTAGTATGTAAAAGCTTTATTTAGTTCTCACACTAATATTGTCCTTATGGCAGAATTCCATTTTATACAGACAGAAGAATTATGGCTCAGAGAGGTTAAGAGACTTATCCAAGGTCACACAGCTATACCAATTTTTGTTTAGCTTGAATCTCAACATAGGTCTCTATGCCTTTGAATTTTGTATTCTTTGAACTATTGGAATATTTCACAGAAGGAGCAGTGGAATGCTAACATGGCAATACAATTTCTGGTTCCAGTCCGATGACCGGTCTTCCAAGAGTGATATAAATAAATATAGGACGTATAGCCTGAGTTTCTGAAGCTTTGTTCCGAAACACGCCACCAACCTGAACAAACTGGTGTGGAAGGCAGCCACAAACATGCTAAACTCTGGTTCACCGGAGGAAGATATGGTTAAATGTGTTTACATTACCAGAAATTTTAATACGGAAGAAGAAGGAAAGGATCTGGGAGAAAGATGAGGAGAAAATATGCCTGCATTTATGACTTGTTGACATCTACGGGGTTTTTCCTTAAGCCTCAAAACAATTCACGGCATTGCCAGCAGCATTCAGTACATTCAGAACAGGATCGTTTCACCCACAGCTGAAGCAGGCCACGCTTGGGACAGCGCTGAGAGCGGCCTCCCGGCGACACGCCAGAGAGCAAGCCGGGGTCAGCGCGCGAAGAGCAAGGCGGGCGCACTTAAAGACACACTGTTTATGTGAGTGTGATCTCACTGCCGCCACTGGAACCGGGTCAGATCCGAGCTGAGAGAACCAGGGGCCCGGGTAACCCCCGCGAAATCAGACTCCGGCTTTTCTTTCAGTCTCCTCTGAGAATATGGCCCTGTGACAAAATAATGACGTTTGGATTCATTTCAATCCGCCGTGTGTTTCCCACTCCCTTTTTGCTTCCTCGTAGTTGATTAGTATGGTTTTTTGTTGTTTTTTTTTTTTTTGGTTAAACACACTAAACTAAACAGGATACGTTATATGACAGGCTGGGATATAGGGGAAATTTACTGCTGGGAATAGGGGAAAAGTATGGGATAAAGAAATAGGTCTTTTCCACCTCTCACAGCTGTGATTCAGTTCTGACTCAAAAGGAAGTGTGCCACCTACTGAATCATGGAAACCACTTCCTGTGGCTGTGCGGTTTGCTCCGGAGGAGCGACAGGCCAAGGACTGCCTTGCCCTGACCCGGACTGGCTCTTCCGAGCCAAGGCGTTCGCAGCTTGAGGAGGTTTGGCCTCCGCGTCTTGAGAACACTGCGTATTCAATTACAAGGGTTTCGTTTCCCTGGCGAGGAGTCTTTAGCAACATGGAAACGAACATGTGTTATTTGCAAACCAAGTGTCTCATTACCCAACCCGAATATCCTTACTTTTTCAGAAGGTATGCATTCCGGACGGCCGCTCTTCAGATCTGAATGTACACGGGTTCTGTTTTCCCTGAGGGCAACTCGGGCAGTCCGTAGGGTGGCACTAACCAGGCTCCAAGTGTACCCTTTAATCAGTGGAGCAGCTAGACTTGTGTTCATTCATTCCACGTAGTTTTTGAGCGTGTACTTACTGTCATGTACTATGCTATGTCATGTACTGGGTACTGTGGCAAACAATACTGTGGCTCCTGACCTCACGGTGCTTATGTTCTATACTGGGTGGGAATTATCCTCTGTCCCCCTGGGGGCAGGCGCCCTGCTTTGTTCACTGTGACATCCCAGCATCTAGCACCCCGCCTTGCATATAGAAGCCTCTAAGTACTTGCTTGCTGAATAGACACAGGGAGGAAGGAGGAAGGAGGGAGAGAGGGAGGGAGGGAGGGAAGGAAGGAAGGAAGGGAGGAAGGGAGGAAGGGAGGAAGGGAGGGAGGGAAGAAAGGAAGGAGCAGCAGCTGGGAAAGAAGTTAACTCACCATATTTTTTGTTGTGTTTGCCAGTGAAGATCTAAGCAACAAGTTTTTTGGAGATTTTTTTGGAATGAGATTTCCAAATAGATTAAAGGTGTCTGCACTTAGGTGGGTCTGGAGATTGTACAGTGCCTCAGGACAACTGTGATCTCTCAACCATCACAGTTCCAGAGCCAGGGAGGCCCATTCTGTGACCAGGTCAACAGTAGATGTCCTGAGTATTGTTTCTGAGAGTGAAAGGCTCTTTGTTCTCCTCAGAATGGATCAGAACCCCTAATAATGGAGCATCTCTTTCCTCTAGTGGTCCATGCCCAACAAAGGTGTCAAAGAATGGCTGCAAATCTGTATAACATTGAGCAAGTAATTTACCCACCTCATAGAAGAGTTGTGAGAATTCGATAACCCATTGTCTATGATAGAATGGTGCTTGGCACACAGTAGGCTTCCTATAAGTCATCACTACTACTATTTCTTTTATTATCATTACCATTACTACTTCCACTACTGTAACTTATAACTGTACCTGATAAGGTCAAGAGTTTTCCCAAGGTGTGATCTTATGTTTAATGATAGAAGTCCATGCCTCAGTGTGTTTCAACCTTTCTAAACCCATGTCCTTCTTTTGACAATCTTAAAAATCTTAAATTGACCTCTAGTTGAAATCCCCTGTCAAGAAGATATTGTTGGCCGAGTGTGGTGGCTCACACCTGTAATCCTAGCATTCTGGGAGGCCGAGGTGGGTGGATTGCTCAAGGTCAGGAGTTTGAAACCAGCCTGAGCAAGAGTGAGACCACGTCTCTACTATAAATAGAAAGAAATTAATTGGTCAACTAATATATATGGAAAAAATTAGCCGGGCATGGTGGCGCATGCCTGTAGTCCCAGTTACTTGGGAGGCTGAGGCAGGAGGATTGCTTGAGCCCGGGAGTTTGAGGTTGCTGTGAGCTAGGCTGACGCTACGGCACTCACTGTAGCTTGGGCAACGAAGCGAGACTCTGTCTCAAAAAAAAAAAGAAGATATTGTCTAGGTTACTAAAATGTGCTTACAAAGTGCTTCACAAATTTAATTTAAGTGATCAATATTTTTTCCCCAAACATAAAATTATATCATAAATTGAAGGTTTTAAAAAATGATATATAATCTGAATATGATGAGGTTGTCATGCCCCTGCCCTAAGGCTATTCTCTACACATTTGACATAAAGAAGAAGAAGAAAAAAAAAGACAAGAGGAGGAGTAAGAGGAGGATGAGAAATAGGAAGGGAAGCAAAGGAAAAAAAGATCCCCACCAAAACTACTGAAGAGTGTTGGAGGTTTTATTGGAATTTTTTTTAAAGCACTGCTTAGGCATTTACGCTGTACCTCACAGTGTAAGGTATAGTGTAAATATTAAAATACAAACATAACTTAATATCATGTTTAAACCTTGACCACTTTCCCTCAGAGTTCCACTTTCTGTAGAAATTCCAATATTTCTCTTCACATAGATTCTTCCTCACTTGAACTACACGTTTCTTCCCCGGGATCCTCCAAGTTACCCAGAGTCAACTCCTCTGTGTTTTTTCCTTTTCTTTTCTTTTCTTTTCTTTTCTTTTCTTTTCTTTTCTTTTCTTTTCTTTTCTTTTCTTTTCTTTTCTTTTCTTTTCCTCTTCTCTTCTCTTCTCTTCTCTTCTCTTCTCTTCTCTTCTCTTCTCTTCCTTCTCTTCTCTTCTCTCCTCTCCTCTCCTCTTCTCTTCTCTTCTCTTTTCTTCTTCTCTCTCTCTTTTTTTTTCAGAGACAGCATCTCACTCTGTAGCCCAGGCTTGAGTGCAGTGGCATCATTATAGCTCACTACAGTCTCAAACTCCTGGGCTCAAGTGATTCTCAGCCTTCCAAGTAGCTAAGACTATAGGTGCATGCCACCATGCCCGGCTAATTTTTCAGCTTTTTGTAGAGATGGAGTCTCACTATTGTCTAGGCTGGTCTCAAAGTCCTGGCCTTCAGTGATCCTCCTCTCTGGGCCTCCCAAAATGCGATCTCCCTGTTTTCATAAAGATCCATGTAATCTCCTCTAAGTCTCCCCAGTTCTCTTTACCTGTCCTATCATTTGGCTAAACAAAGGACAGGAAACTAGATTCTAACTGACGTTTTCAAAACTGAGGCATTATAACAGCTGTTTAGCCAACAATTACGATAGCAAAAACAGCAAGGAAATAAATTGGTTCACAACAGTTTCAGAAGTCCAACAATATTTTATTTTATTTTTATTTTTATTTTTTTTTGAGACAGAGTCTCACTTTGTTGCCTAGGCTAGAGTGAGTGCCGTGGCATCAGCCTAGCTCACAGCAACCTCATCTCCTGGGTCAAGTGATCCTGCTGCCTCAGCCTCCCGAGTAGCTGGGACTACAGGCATGCGCCACCATGCCCGGCTAATTTTTTGTATATATATTTTTAGTTGGTCAATTAATTTCTTTCTATTTTTAGTGAAGACGGGGGGTCTCACTCAGGCTGGTTTCGAACTCATGACCTTGAGCAATCCACCCGTCTTGGCCTCCCAGAGTGCTAGGATTACAGGCATGAGCCGTGACCATGCCCGGCCGTGAAGTCCAACAATATTTTAAAGCCTCATCTGCATGTATAAGTTTGTTATTGGTGTTGTTTTGCTCATTATTGTAACTCAAGCATCTATACCTGGCATATAGTACCAGGCATAGAGTAGATGCTTAATAAATATTTATTGAATAAATAAATTAGTTTAAGAGTTAATATTTCAACTGAAGCAAAATACCATTAGATTAATTCTCTCTTTTTTTTTTTACTTTTTTCTTTTCAATATTCTATGTGAGACAAATAATCACACATACATCAACAGAAGAGGACACAATTTTCTGTCATTAATTTTTTTAGTATGTTACTTTAGGGCAAATGTCACAGAAAATTATATTGAACTCTTGACCAATCTATCTATTTTTTCCATTGGAATATTGGCCCAAGTAAGAAATAACATCAAGGAAAAATTATTTTTTGGCAGAAAAATGTTCTGTCTTAAATTCTTGTGTGTTTTGTTTTGATTTTTCCTTAGTGACTGGAGGCCAGTTTCAGTCCACTGAAGCACAGATTCCAAATTTTCAATCTGGTTTTCTTGAGTACCGACTGAGTGCCAAGAATGAGGCAATGACACAACACTGTCACCACCAAGACACTTCCCCTCTCTCACACACACACCCACATACCAGAGTCCAGGCCATATTCTGGTGACTAGCAAGCTTCTCCCCACCCCAATATTTACTCTTAAAATCATGGTTGGTGGTTTTTGTTTTTTTTTTTTAATTTCAAAAGAATCCATTCCCTATATCATAAAATTTTTGACTAATATACTAGTCAGTGTATTCCAGACACTAAAAGATATCATAATGGAACTATCTATTGACTAAAGATAATCAGTATCCTCTACTTACCCTTTCTTTCTTTTAAACTTTAATTTTGATATGTTTGGGAGTGAAGTAATGACCATAAATGCAAAATAATTATTGAGGAAACATTAATTTCCTGTTAGCCTAGTGGGAAAAAAAAAAAAAAAGAACTCAATATTTTTTGGCAGCCCCAAATGCATCACATGTTTCACGTAGTAGGAGAGCAGTGCCCTGAAGGGAAGGGTGGCCTGCAGGAGAGCCAAAAGAACAGACGTCCACTGCAAGTAACATGAGCGCTAGGTTTGGATGACACCCATCTCTGCTGCGAGACTTGGAGCAATTCACTTAATCTGAGCCTTAGTTTCTTCCACTGCGGACTAGCAATATCAATACCTGCTACTTACTTTGTGAATTGCTTCTCTAAAGTTAACTCTCTCTGTTGTTCCATGATTCCATAAATCCCAGAACAGTCTTTTCCTGTTATAGCCAAGTTGTCCATCGTTGACAGCGATGTTCACCTGCTTGTTCCGGCTTCTCTAATCCGGCTGGTGAGAACACCTCTAAGGGAACTTTCGTCAGGAGCTAACAATGGCATTTAAGGTCACTTGTGCTCTTGGGCCCAGTTGGGCCCAGGAACTTCCCTGATAGTGATATTAGCTCTCATGTGTTAAGTCCTTATTGCACACCACGAGCTCGT